ATATACGGCTGAACGTTTTGCATATATCATCAGCATAGTGCTCAATGGCAACAAAAGCAGATCGAATTAAAAATAAAACAGTAGGTTTGATTAGACATTTTATTACTGTTTCGAATCGTGCCACACATAATGGTGCAACATTCTTCATATTCCTGTCCTTCAGAGCAAGTAATGCCCTGGTGGATTTAAGGTGGAAAATCCCCCGGAATTTCCGAAAATGTAGGCGCAGGCCTTTTTTTTAACGCCAACGTGCGTTAAATTATGACTGGTAAGAAAAATAGAACTATAGACTTATTATTCATTACGGTCCTAGAGAAAAATGTCTGGAAAAATGTGGACCTTTGAAAATGGGGGGTGGGGGAGGGTCGTACGACCTTCCCGACCCCCCTTGCATACACCCATGACTCTAGAAATTATTTCCTGAGACAAATGCGTAAGGCCGGCCTTGGTGTTACTGAATTAGTTCATTTTTATTGTAGTATTTTACGGCCAGCAGTTGAATATGCTGTGCCAGTGTGGGCTACGAATCTGACCCGCGAACAAATTAGGCCTACATCAGTAGAACACATACAGAAAGGGCATTTTAGATAATTCTCCCATGGTGTAATTATGATGAGGCACGTTTGATTCTAAGTATTCCGCTGTTGGAGGACAGACGAACCCGATTGTGCAGGGAATACTTTCAAAAATTTAAAAATTCCAATCACAGATTATATAATTTAATCCCTTCATTACGTAATGTATCATATAACTTGAGGACAAGCACCGAATTTCCTTTACCCAAATGGGATACAAACAGATCAAAAAACTTTATCATTAATACCGGGTTGTTCAAAGTATGATAAGTACTCCCTCCACAGTCGGACGGACATTGTTTTCATATTTAATTTTAATGTTTAACGCTTTGCTGTTTTATTGTTAGATAATTATTTTTTTTGATTTGTGTGAAATTGTTCAACTTAATTTATTTACAAAGTAGATTGCAATAAAATTGTTCTCGTATCGTATACCACCTCAGCACCACGGTTTGGGGCTGAGGTAGGACAAATTATGATTATGGCACCTCAGCAGATGCCGGAAATGGCACTCATATAGACTTAAAAATTTGAATACAATTTTGTTTTTATCTAAAAATAATTTTGAAAAATTGAGGAGGACTCGGCTCGGCTGCCTCGTCAACCTCTTTATTTTGTCACTTGATATAATATGATATAGGCCTATCCTGCCTGTTCCATGATCCTATAGTCAATGTTAATGCCTTTATGTATAAACAAATCTCTCTTGTGTCAGGTCCGGTGCACTGAGGATCATGGGGGCCACTTGGGGCCCTAGAAGTCATGTGCCCAGGGGACTGCCACACGAGAGCGCATAGCCGTTGTACACCACTAGTCCAAACAATTGTCTCCCAAATCAGCATAATTGCTGAGTGATCAATTCCAAAAAAACCCTAAAACCAAAGACCAAAACTGCAAATGGCACATGAAATCGGTGACTGATATAGTTTGGTTCGGTATTAATATTATAATATTAATATTATTATTATTATTATTATTATTATTATTATTATTATTATTATTATTATTATTATTATTATTATTATTATTATTATTATTATTATTATTATGTTTATTATTAATTATTATTTGTTATTATTATTTATTATGATTATTATTATTATTATTATTATTATTATTATTATTATATCATTGTTATTCACATTCTAAGTTTAAGGGAATACATATAATAAATAGAGAATGTTTAAATTCATTATAACTTTTTAGACTGTAGTGTGTGTGTGTATAATTTAATTTTTACTATATTCTTTTTTTAAACCACTGTGTCAGCATTATAAACAAAATTGTTGACTCACAGTTGTCTTCCATTTGCTAAGGTTTTTATTGTCTAGTTCATTAGAATGTTGCAACACATTAATAGGGTCTATTTTGCATTGGGATGTAACTTTGTATTGTAATGCATTACTTAATTGGCCTATAACACTGTTTTCGGAGAAATAATAATAATAATAATCTATTAGGCAGGGATGGCGCCATTATTTTCCCGACGGGTGGGGGTCCGAGGTCCCCGACGGGTGGGCCGATGTCCCCGGCGAGAGCAAAGTGGGCCTGGTCGGGCGTTACTCAATATTATTTCAAAGTGATCGAGGGGGTGAAACCATGGAAAATATGACAAATTAGAGGTTTCAAAGGCTTATTTAATAGATTTTCTCCCCGACAAATTGTGTTTTTTTTTTCTCCTCGATGAGGGGCCCTTCCCCTCTCCCGCTGACGCCACCCCTGCTATTAGGAGAGAAGGAGTTCTGCCAAGGTGAATACTTTGAAAACGTTTTTTCTGGGTATCTTTAACATAGCGATAATTATTATAATATGTCTGTGTGTAACTGGAAAAGTAATTATCAACGGTTTAAACTTTGCACCAATATGACGAAAAAACAATTTTAAGCATGCGCAAGGCTTGAATCTTACAATAATCTCTTAACCACGTATTATAGGTATTACCGCTGAGGAAGTGCACATGAGTGTTCGAAATAATCGAATAATATGCTTATATTTATAATGTCAACATATACATTTCTACTTCGTGTAATCGTACTTAATCAAATGAATGCAAACTATGGTGATCGCAAACATACACCGATCGCATGAACGCAGACAGCAGGCCTAGTGGCATGAATTATCATTATCATGTAGACTTCAGGCATGTACAACAACGTTTAAGAGATCACGAAAGAGTCTGGTTAAAAAGTGTGATACACCATGACTGCCGTTTGGCTAAGCCCCACCCTTCTTCATATAGTGATCCTAAATGCTACCATTACAATTATTATTACAAGTTCTATTACCAAAGCTTCAGATCATCTTGGTACCTCAAATATTGGAAGAGGCTTTCAATATTGCACGTAGTACAACAAGCAGGTACAACATTTAAAGTAAGTTAGTGAGGTCTATTTTCTGTTGAGGTGAGGTCTACCATACGGTAGCGCAGTGGGCATGCTAATTGGTAAAGGGCCCAGGGCCCTCTGAAGTTAGGCATTAACTCCAGTTTTTCCAGTGAAATGTGTATCTTACGTGGCCAAATTACAGTATTTCTGACAAACAAATAATGTATGCCAGTGTCAATTATTTTCACGAAATTTAGTCCACGTAAGTTAAAATTAATATTATAGTATAAATTTATAATCAATTTAGGGGTCGTCATTGTATTGTACACATATAAAAATAGATAAAATTATTATTATTGTTCAAATTAAGCTGCTATCATTTTTATATTCAATCAGAATACAAAGATATTGATATATGATGATTATATTATGAAGAATAATATTAATATACTTAGTAGAACCTCTAATTTACGTATACTAAATTTACAGACTTCTATTTTACAAACGCGAAGTTACAATTATTATTACAAGTTCTATTACCAAAGCTTCAGATCATCTTGGTACCTCAAATATTGGAAGAGGCTTTCAATATTGCACGTAGTACAACAAGCAGGTACAACATTTAAAGTAAGTTAGTGAGGTCTATTTTGTGTTGAGGTGCAGGCCTGTTGAGGTGAGGTCTACCATGCTGGTAGCGCAGTGGGCATGCTAATTGGTGAAGGGCCGAGGGCCCTCTATTGAAAAGAGAAATACACAAATTATCAGGGAAGCTTTTATTTTTCTAAAAAAATCAATCAAATAAGCTTTTCAAATCTCTAAATTGTCAGAGTTTACAGAGGCTTTGCTCACTGGACACCCTTGGGGTGTTCTGCACTGGACTTGGCCTCGCCTACACTTATGCTCCCGTCGGGGATATCGGATTCCCGTCGAGGACATTGGACAACCAGTTGGGAAAATCTTGGCACCACCAGTTTGCTTTGCTACTTCATCCCAAACAAGGATGGGGCTGAGGTGAGCGAATTTAAGGATTCTTAATGACCTAGGTAGAGCAGTGTTACCAGCATTCCCTGAATTCATTGACACAATATATAGACAAGAGGCTGTGAGTGCTAGAAGGGGGAAATAAGCCAATTCGTGGTTGGAGCTGGGCATACTTGTATCCAGAATCAATCAAAGTCATCCGACATAAACCTATGTTGTATGTGGGGTGGTTATGTAGATTGGCTTGATACGAGCATGCGAATTGGCTTATCGAAATGATGTTAATCGTTATCAACCACAGATTCATCATTCAAGGGTTTCTTGTAGTTTAAATAATTTAAAACTTTACTTCAGTCCTATAGCTACTTACTGTACAATATTCTTTCTTTAACAATCAATATTTTAGGGGTAGCTAAAGCCTGTGTAGTCCCATACTAAATCGTCTCCTTAGTACAGTACAAGCTACCTTGACTTTTGGATTATAAATGAAAACATTTCGTCTAGAGCTGATGAAGTACCTGGCTTCAAAAAAGCTTTGAATGTCTCTGAATTCACATTATCACCACACAGAACATGTGCCAGGCAAGCCTTACTGAGTTCTTCATATTCAAATTGTTTGCTATATGTGTACAGAGAGGGTGCTGTTTTACCACTAAGAACCTTTAAAACTACTCTGTCATATACATGTCTTTGAATGTTATGCAAGAGAAAGCGGTCAGAAACCACCATAGCTTCAATGCACATTAGCACATTTGAGTCATCAATGTCCACAGCTCCAATCTGATCATTTGCTGTCCTCTCATTCAAGTCGCCAGTACCTGAATGATCACCACTAAACAGTGGGCTTGTATCGCACATTGTCATTGTGTTTTGAGCATCGCTACTCATTGGAACCTCTTCCTTAGATAAGTTAATTTCCGATGAAGGCATATTATTTGGTGAGCAACTGACATTACCAGAGCCTTCAACTTGAATACCTGATTCAGGAATAGCAAATAAAGATATTACAGAACATTGAGTACATCCATAAAGTTTATGCAAGATGAATTCCAAAGTCTTTTGTGAAGCATCTGCCAATGGAACAATAGTCTGATGGGATTCTTTAAAATCTCCACTCAACATCGCTGCAAAAAAATCTGAATTTTGACTGACTACTTTACGGTTGGCAGCAAGTCTAGTGTTGTCATCCAGGACAAATTCAAAGTCTGTATTTACAAGGCTTTCTTCATATTTGCAGCATCCTTGCAGTGTTTGATATCCAAGTTTCCTTCTGTGCAATTTTACTGGGTCCTTGATACCAACAATATGTGCCAATTGCTGAAGACTAAATACAGTTTCTTTTAAAGTTTGTTCATCTTGAGACAAATGAAGAAACTCCCTGTACAGGCTCATTGCACTCATATCATGCAGTAATTTCTTCTGCGTTTTAGGCGATCTGTAGATAGAAGAAAATCAACATAATCAAAGTTTAAAGCTAGTCGTGTATGCAACTTGATTCAACTTAACTGACATCAACTGACCTTTGGCAACTAGACAGAAACTGTGATTCATTCGGGTTGAGGCGCCATTGGCGATTAAAATGCAACTGAAACTCACCAGTTCCTCTTAGCTGCTCTCAGTTTCCGTTTCAATTTTGCTGCGATCCAAAGCAATTGACAAGCAACAGCAGTCTCAGTAATTCTAATCTGTTAACTGTGCTTGCATATCCAATTATGGTAGCATTGCATGGCAACTAATCTAATCTAGTGTCAGAAGGGGCATAAGCCTTAGATGGGCAATTGTGGGTGAAAGTTAACATAAGCACTACTGGCAACTAGTCAAGTCGCAATGGTGACATAACCTTTGCTTCATAATGCATCATGCCAATGCGTTTATGTGTTAAAAGTCCGACTCTGGAGGTAAAAATGGTTTGATATGTTGTAAAAATGATTTTTCCAAGGCAGAAAAAGCATACAATTTGACGAAAAGCTTGGAAACTGTTAATTAGACTAACTAAAAGGTGAAAAAAGTGTAGTTATGCCCCTTACCCCACCCCCCTGTTTTTAAATAATCAAAAATTTGTATCTCAAAAACCGTTCCCAAGTTTTTAGTCAAATATACTTTTAGTGTCTTAAAAAAAAATCAGTTGTACAGCATATCGAACAATTTTTTTCGTCAGGAGCCTGGCTTGAAGTTTCAGTATACTTTATTTTAGTATGGTGTTGGTGTTACTATTTTTTTTTTGTATAGCCCAAATATCTAGAATCTCATGCCAACATTCTTGGGACAAGAGCAGTCATTACTATGTACAGCACATGTCAGAATGGCATGGAAAGAACATTTTAATACTGGCCTTATATATATATGTGATGTACAGTATTATTCTGTCAAACTTATTATTTATATTTTAAGTTTTTCAAAGCTCTGTTGTAGCAATTCAGGAACTCCAATGCATATTATATAGATGAATATAAAATGATCTCACCTGCAAAGAAATGGAAGAGCTTTGCAACAGGCAAACCTCCGCAGTTTCAATGTTGATGTTATCATGTTCTCTATCAAAGTTTCTCCAAACACTGTCTCAGCTTGAAGCGCAACATGGTGGAGCAAGTGATCTATTATTTCTACTGCAGGCCAGTACTTGCGAACATTAGATCGCAGTTCTTGTTTTAGTGAAGAATTATCTATTAATCTCTGTTTGATTAGAGTAGGAATTCCCAATAAGATAATGTCTTCAAGACAATGTGCATTATGGAGAAGTCTTACAACTATCCTCCGGCATTTTGCAACACTTCTCATGTTTTTAGACTTTAGAATAATGTCTAAAAAAACATTAAAACAGTCTAATGTTGTTAAATATTTGCACAAATTATTTTTGTGCGAGAACCTTGACAATAGAAGCAGTATGCCATGCTCTCTTCCTTTCAATCTAATGACAGCTGGGCTGGATTCATTAACAGGCAGATGTGTTGTTTCCACTGATGTGTGTGACAGATTTTCCATTGCCTTTGCTTCCTCTTGCTCGACACGCCAAAAGGTAAATGAAGATTTTATATCATCTACATTATGTTTTCTTGACTTCCTGCCAAACATTTGATAGTTATGTTTTCTCTTTTTATTGGATCCAGGAGGCAATGCTATTTCCTCTGAACTTTCAGGGTCTTTTTCAATATTCAATATGTCTGAAGTGCCTTTTTCTGTATTATTGTCTTCAAGATTTTTAATAAAATTATCTTCATGCTGCCATTTCTCTACAACACCAGAATGAAAAGTTCCTGAGCTAGATGCACGATCTTCACTTTCAGGGCTCATCTGTGGTGACCAGGTAGGAGAGAATTCATACGATGGCGGACTCATAGAAAAGCATGGTGAGTAACATATATCGCTAGATGGTGACATACTAGATGGATGACCCTGTTCCTGGTTCCTCAAAAATGCAGCTAAATCCACACCTAAAGGACTATATGATTGTGGTTTTCTTTTAAATTGATCAAACTCACAAACATCATTTGAAATTACTAATGTTGATTGGGAGCTATCTGTTTTTGGAGACATTCTACTCTCATCTTCATCATGACCTTCATCAGCAGCATCATTTTCGTCATCATCAACATCACCAACATCAAAAATTGATTTTACTTTGAATGTTGACGTAGAAGTCTTAGGATTTTTGTGTGGACTGCTAATATTAGAGTTAGTGCCTCTATATAAACTATCTGATTCTGTTTTTTCTTCACATCCTTCCAATATATCTACTTCATCTTCAGTACACCTAGTAACATCTTGGAGCATGTCAGATGAAAGTAGTTTTTCAATCAAAATCTGAATAAGTCCACTTCCGGCAAACAGTTGCAAGACGTCCTCATCAAAATAAAAACATTCCAAAGCCAAAATTACTCTGTCATGATGAATAGTATGTTCATTTGTTTTCAATATGTTTATCAATACTGGTAAGCCATTCAGCTCTTTAACTTTAGCCCTATTTACTGCTTCTTGACAACAAAGACATAATGCATGCAGATGTAAAGCAAAGGCTTTCTCACAGGGATGCTGGAGACCTTCTAAAAAAAGCGCGACACCATTGACACTACCAACACTAGCACGCACTGTGCTGTGTTTCATTAAGTTAATCAAAGCAGCAAATGCATGTTCTTTTACAGTAGATTTATCATGCAATGTGAGTTGCACTAGCCTTGTTATGCCACCTTCTTCTAATACTTGAATCGCAGCAGCTGGAGAGCAGTCACTGGTGATGGCAGCTACAGCACGGACACACTGGCTGATAACGGACACAAGATCAGATTGCAGGTGCTTCACAATTGGTCTTAGACCTTCAGCTTTTACAATCAAAGCTTGATGCCTAGGAGTGTTTGCTATAAGCCTGATGGCTCTGGTGAGGCTCTCTTGAGTACCCGGGTCAATGCTCTCTCTCAGAAGTTTTATCAGCAGTGGCCCAGAATTACACTTGTGAATGGTGGCAATATTTTCATGGCTAAGGGCAAGGTTTGCCAGAGCACGTGCAGCCCTGTTCAGCACACTTTTATGTTGGCACTTCAGAATATTTACTAAAATTAAAACAAATAAAAAAGAAAATGTGAATTTAATTTATTTGTTTAAATCAATTACCATGAAATATTGTCACTCATTAGTTTATTTTCTGAACATAAATGTCAGTATGAATGTCCCATGTAGTACAGATAGTCAACAAAATAACTGTAATAACAAGAAAAATATTAGAATAATCTCTGTATATTAAATTAACACTTGGATATACTGTAGTAAAGTTAATTTCAACACACTCAAAATGTACATTATCATACGTTTAAAGTTTTCCATACTATACTAAATACTATTCTACTACTTATACTATTTACATTTCCAATCGAATAACCTACTTAAAAGTAAAATGAAAATATGATAATTAGGAATTCAATTTTTATTGTTTTAAGATCATAATTATTAATAATTAGGATATAGATTAAATCGACATTCTGAAAAAAATGAAACAATTTAGCATTTAAAAAAAATTAAATAAAACATGAACAGTTAATTACATTTTCGTCAAACCCTTGAAATTTACACAGGAAAAAAAAAAATTATATAAGATGATCCTTCTAGCTTATCCCAGAAGGTCAGCTGATATTCAGAGGCCCTCTTAAAATGAAATATAATGCTTCATAAACTGAGACTCATCGTGAGGAGAGTGGAGATGTTTTTATTTGAGGAAAAATCTCGTTCTATCACAGAATTTGAACCCAGAATCCTGGTAAAAGAAAGTAATCATCTTAAGCCACCAAGCTATATCTCCATCTATTCAGAGTCTTAGAAATTCATTGTACAACATACATTTCCCCCCAGAACTCAGCTTTAAAATAATACAACATGTTTATTCAAGTAAATGCCCCGCTTTGAATAAACACCCCCTCAAATAACGTCTCCTCTAGAGCCTCATCTGGAATAACCGCCTACCTCGAATAAATACCCTGAGGAGTATATTTCCTCAAATAAATGCATCCCCACCCCCAAATGACTATACAAAAACCTAATGGAAGCAACATCATTCTCAACACATTCTGTTAATGTTCGACCCAGTAGAGTTACATTTCTTCTAAACTGTCTGGAATCAATGAATCTTTACATGGAGGTGTATACAGTTACAAACTATATTTACCTCCATGGTCTTTAAGATCACGCAATAGCATTTTGATAGAAATTATGTGTTAGTTCGACATTTATAGTGAAATAAAATAAATGCTTCCCTCGGAAAAACGCCCCCCTCAAAAACCCTTCTCAACAATAAATACACCGGGGCGTTTATTCGAATAAATACGATATATTCTTCCATATCCATTATTTGTAATACTTACCTATTATCTTTATACCATTTAACTTTTTAATCTGAAAGATAATTGAAGAAATGGATTTTAAAAAGAAAGGAATACTTTGATTGCAAAAAATCAAGTCAATTGTTCTATTTAGAGAGGAGGATAATGTTAATTAGCATGCATAGATCTTGCTCATGCCTATCGCTTTGTGAATGGAATGTCATTATCACTCTCCCAATGGCAATCAATAACACAGCCATCTGCTACTTTAAAGATTGGGCATTGTAATAAGAACTGTCCTCATCTTCACAAGATGATTTGTAATCGGAATTATAATATTTGTGAACAAAGGACAGAGTACACCTTGTGAATTCTCTAAAATAAGAGTAAATACTGTATAATTTACAATTTCTATTTTTTCACAAAATAAGCATATGGTGTGGGGAAAATATATTATGTTGAATATGTTTATATAATAATAATAATAATAATAATTATAATAATAATTATAATAATAATAATAATAATAATAACAATTAACAATAGAAATAGGTGATGTATTTATCACTCTAATATTAGTGTTAACAATATAGAATGAAAGCAACAATAAACAACATAAATATTGTTGAGTAGGCTATAGCCTATATACTTAAAACAAACTTGAAATATGCAGATACAGTATATTTCCATTACGTTTACTACAGCATAATAAATTTTAATGTGCATTATGAAGAATGAAGCAGTAGCTTGGTGGTTAAGATGCTTGCCTCAGAATTCCGAGGTCTTTGGAGCAACCGAGTTTTCATAAATACCAGGATATTTTTTACTCAACTGAATATAATATTACTCCCTGCCAATATGTACAGTAGCTGCCTAATTGAGATAGAATCATCTCATATCGATATTTTTTATAGAGTATTAAATTTAAATGTACCTATTGCAGTAGGCTTGTATAACTGCACACTACACAATGAAAAACATAAATTATGAAAAATATGGTCTTGGATATTCCATTCTATCCTAATAATTATAGAGCAACACAACAGTCTCTATATGTGCCTAAGTAACCCGTACAATGTTATAACGATCTTGATCACTGCTCAAACTTTAATAGATAATATTATTAATTTAATTAAGTTTTAAATTTCTGTTTTATGCAATTTATAAAAAACACAGGCACACTTTTAAAGAGTAAATCTATATTGTTAACAATGTAATGGTAATGGTAATGGAGGGATATTTGTAGTGCGCCTTCCACAATAAAATCGTCTCAAGGCGCCGAAAAAAGGTAGGACCAAGAATTTAAAAAATTAAATTATATTATATCTAATATTAAAGAGCCTATATTAATCAGAATATTTTTTTTAATTTAATTTATTAAAAGTTAAATAAATATAAATAAATGAATAAAGTAAATAAATAAACAAATAGAAAATTTAAAACAGTCTGTTATTCAATTTATTTATTGAATAGTATTACTTTTTTAATATTAAATAATTATTATATGTTAAAACTTTTATTATATTTCATTGGCTTTTATGATATTATTGCTAATATTATATTCATAATAATTTAATTATTTTCTTCTGTAACTTAAATGCATCAATAAATAATATATTATTCTAAAACAATAAGCCAAATATACAAATATTATAATATATTATTATATATGCAAAATAAAACCTTTTAAATTATCTTATAATATTTCAGGCAAACAAGTATAATAACCTTTCAAAACATTACATTAAAAAATAAACATTTACATTAAAAAAAAAATATTAAAAAATAGAGCGAAAAAGAATAGGAAAAGAACAAAGACATAGCCCAGGAGAGACCAAATAGCACTTGCTAATACTGAGAGTAAAGGACTTCCTTTGATTCTTGAATTGCCATTGACAGAATATGCATTGCAAGCACATGAAAACAAGGTGTGCCAATCCACTTTCCATATTCTTAATTATAATTTTCAATGCCAAAATATTCAGTTCATGAGGCATCTTAACCATTAATGCATACTGCATAATAATCATAATTGATTCAATTTAATGTGCAGTCATCCATAAAATTCTATGTCTGACATTTCAGTAGGTAAATGTCAATTTCGGTATTCATCAGCAAATGAAATTGAAGATTATTGCAAAGCTGCTATTACTGTACAAGCCACGGCAATAGTGCAGTTATGCTGAAAACGAAAACATTTTGAATTGACTCTATCCTTTATGTTGTATATTTTGTATATTTTCTATGGATTCATTCTTCACTCTCAAGCTTAATCATACAATTCTGAATGACCTAAATTTTGTTGTCTGATTGAAGAAATTTTGTGGAACGATATTAATTCATGTCATTCATAATTTCCAAACAATCATTAAATATTTAAATTAATTCATTCATTAAATGCATGCATCAATTAATACATGGATAAAATAAATGATTTGTTTAGTGATTATGTATTATTTTCTTTCCCATCAAACAACAATCTGAAATAATCACTGTTCTATTGAAATATAGGCCTACCTGTAGTAAGGCTTAAAAGGTTGAGTTCAGGGCATAGACACTATGTCATGATGTCAATTAAATATGGCGGAAAAGGGTAAATCCGGTTTAGGCATGATGGCTACTCCTACCACGAGGTGGGGGCGCTCTATTGACAATTAAATAGCGTTCAGAACTCGAACAAAATTGCGTTCGAAACTCGAACACGCGTTACAGAGACGCAGCATAGGTTGCCGCGAACGCCTTTTACCGTCATTTGAATGACGCCCTCTAGAACATGGTAGTACTCTTCGTGATCGACATTAACAACATTTTTAAAGTGTTTTTAGTATAATGTAGTAGGCCTATACAAAATATTGTCATTAAAGAAAATTTCATGAAAAATCCAGATACACTACAGTAATACACACATCTGCATATTGAAGAACAAAATAAAAAAACAAACAAAAAAAAAAAACTCCTGTATAAGGCAGTAGACACACTCTCCCACTGGGAGCCTATTTGTTTATAATTTGTAAGAAAAGCCAGTTTTATCACAGGCTTTGAGCCTGAGATTTGAAGGCAAAATTATAAGTCATTAACATGTGAATGAATAAATGAATACTTGCAGTAGTCAAACAAAATACTAAACTACAATCATTTCAGTGTATGGCAATTTCATATCCTCTATCTATCTACCTACTGAGAACAAAGTGGGCGTGGTTAATTTTCACTCAAAATCTTTCGAAAATGGTCCAGGGGATAAAGCCACAGAAAATATGACTCCAACAAATTGTGGTTTTTCTTCTTGTCCTGCCCCCCCCCCCCCACTTCCCCCCCCCCACCTCAAACTGGCGCACCCCTGATTCAATCAAGATGTCATCCTCTCTCCAACATAATTCCAAAACAATCCAATACTCCTTCCTCTTCCCCAAACTGTCTGACAACGTGGTTAAAGACCTATTCGAAGTCAACTTCACATTTATATTTTATGTATATTTACAGGGGTTTTCTTTGTAGGTAAATGCAGACCTAGAACCATTAAATAAGAGAACTCACATTTCCATGACTTTGTCGATTTATTCCGTTTTTGACTCAACTCAACAAAGTCATCCAGTGTGGTGGATCCCCCACCTCACGACAATAACAACAAATGAAGAAACCTAAAACTAACGTACAGTGGCGTCGGGAGCCAGTAAGGGCCCCGGGGCAACACCTCACATGGCCCCCTCCCTTCACTTGGGACCCCCACACTCGGCCGCTCCCCAAATTAAGTCTCCTCCTAAGACCCTATTTGTCCAAACCCACATACACGAATATGATTCCATGTGATTATTTTTTTGCAATGTAGATGTATCAGAATAATCTGATGAATAAACGATAATAATTATATATATAATACACATACATCTAGTATAATAAAAATACAGAAAGACTGAGAAAGACGCCCATAAACCATAATGTAGAGTTTGTTCTGACAACAAAAGTTTTCATCCTGGCTTGGGCTCGGGCCCTATGGAGATTTTGTTCTTACCCCGAAAATGTTTCATCTTGGTCTGGGCCCCCCAGTAGACCCGGTCCCCGGGGCAGCGACCCCCCTGACCCCCCACTCGACGCCACTGCTAACGGATAACTGGATTTAGCAATAAAAATTAAGCCAAGACACAATCAAGCTCGGTTTCCATAGAATCGTCCACCCTATCAACGACAGTCGCCAACAGTTGTCAGGAAGGTCAGGGGCGGCGGAACTGGTACGGCAGGTACGGAGGATGCTGTACCAATATCTTGACATGATTGTTTTCAAATACAGGCCTATTTGTTGTAATCCTTGATTTAATTATATTTCACCTTGGTCCTACTTAAAAAGAAACTCTGATTTCAACTTTTGCAACGAGAATATCGTTATCGTATATTTGACACGTTTGATGGTAACATTTGATTAAAGTCAAAATACTGTAAGTGATTTATGATTGCAATCTTTCATAGTCTATTAATTGTATTATTTCACTGTAGTGCGATTGAAAAAATGATGAAATAAACTTGAGTGCTATTTCCGAGCATCTAGACGTGTAAATTTTACAAAATTTTCTAACCATGGTGGGGCTCAGGTTATTGGAGGCTCACGCCGTACCAATCAATGCTTCCGCCGCCCCTGAAGGTTGAACCTGGTTCAACTTTGCCGATTGCATTGCAGACGAATCATTGATAGCTGCCCTGACGTAATTGGGAAGTTACAGGATGGCACCCCAAATCGTCTGCAATTGGCAAAGTTGAACCAGGTTCAACCTTCCCGACAAACTGTCAGCGAATGTCGCCGATAAGGTGATGATTCTATGGAAACCAAGCTTTAATGTAAAATGTATTTTTGCCCCAACCGAACCATACCCTGACACGCCTTATTAAAAAATAGATGGCATACTATACCTATGTCCTAGGTTAAAATACTAATACTAGCTATCACAAATACATACTAAATGATTGATCAAACAATTTATTGATTGACAGTATAAAACCTGTGGCCAATATTTCTGACTTCATTTAATCTCAACATTCATTTATAATATAATAAATAATTGCTCCAGTTAATAGAGCTGTCTAATAAGGGCAAATAGAAAAATTTATTAGATTATCACTCCCGCCCGCGTAAAAAATTCGAGAAATATTGATGTGGGAATAAAAAAAAAAAATTTTTTTGCCGCATCAATTAGTTCAACAGCATAAAATTAACAATGCGGTATAGTGACTTCAAATATCTTTAAAAAACTATAAAATTAAACCAGTTTTTATACAATATTTACTATTACAGACTAAATATTAACAGTCCCTCCCTCATCGATTAAAAAAAAAAAAGGCGATATAATCTATTGTTCCGATTTAAAAAAAAAAACCATCCTCCCTCACCAATTTAAAAAAAAAAAGAGGGATAATCTAATAATTTTTTCTATGTGCCCTAATCTGAATGAATGCTGTAGATTCTCGTGTATGAGCCCACCCTAACTTTACATCAAATTTCATGTAAAACAGTTTCCCTGGGCAAAAGCTCAAGGTAGTGGCGTAATGAGGCAGGCGGAGGCCCCTGAGCAGGAGTCCTTTATGTCCCCCCACATGCTGGGAGACGGGGGCTATGAAGGGCCCCAGTAGGGGTCTGGGGACAAAGCCCCCTGGCAGCTCCAGCGTTTTTAGCATTCTAATAGGTATTTTAATGCCCAAAGTTTATGTATCGTGATTATGGACTTAGTCTGAAAATAAATCAGAATTATTTTCAATGAAAAAGGGATTCCCTGGGTATTCCCCATTCTCCGGAAAAACTGATTTTGTGATCAGGGGAGGGGGTTGGGCTTATATGATTGAAACCCCAAGGACTGTATTGGGAAACATTTGTAGTGGTACAAGTACCAACATTCTGGCCTGGAATTCAGCTACCATGTCTAGAACATTTTTACAAGAAGTTCATTCAATATGGTGGATGGTGATAGACCAACAACCCAGAGCAGATTTTTTTTCCTTTTAATTTCAAATTTTTAATAACAGGGCAATTTCAAAATGTCGGACGTACATTTCCGACACTTTAGGGATGTTTTTCAACATAAAATTGTAGGTGTATCATTTTGTTTTGCTGTTAAGCATATATAACAGTTACTATTTATGTACAGTACATTCAACATTAACCCGAAGTTAATGCTCACTTAATACGATTTCGAAATGGCAATTGGTTAGGCTGATATTATCGATAATGTAAAAACGCAAAATTGCGCGTAGATGACGTCACGCATCACTGAGCGGGTTGAAAAGCTTACAATGACTATTCCAGAGCAAGTCAAATATTCGCTGACGGCAATTTTGCCTAGCTCGTGGCATTTTTTGAGATATCATGCGAACAGAAAAGGGGAGAAAGAAAGAAGAATAAGAAAAAAAAGATGATGATGATCCTGACAATAACAAGAGGTGATCCGCTAGTGTAGCGGATCACCAATAATAATTTTATGTTCATAACAACCTATTTTTGAGGCGAAATGTTGATTTTTTATGAAAAATATGAAAATACACTTTGCAAATCACCAAAAACACACCGTAAACCGGTCTCTAATTAGAATAAAAAAAATAAAAAACATTTGTTAATTTGGGATTACAGAAAAGTGGTCTCTAATTGGAGGGGTCTCATTAGAGTAGAGTAGAGGGAGACCTGTCAGCAGTAGTAGTACTTTTTCTGGCTTCCTTGAATCCTCCTACTGTCACTCATTTTGACCAGGTTTTTTTTTTACATTAAATATTACTACACACCCAAAATCAAACAGGAGTTATTCATAATATTTTTTAATAAATCATTCGCTAAAAAGGCATTTCTGTGCTAACCAGTGCCAAAATATGAGAAGGCTCACCAAAAGTCTTATTTCTTCAAGCTGCAGAGAACAGTCAGCAAGAATACTGAGGCTCAGGTCCATAATGCGAGTTGAGTTCGTGTGCTCCAACAAGGAAATTAAAGGGGGAATTCCTTTACATTTTACAATTTGTTCGCATCCATTTGGTCTTTTAACAAAGTCTGTCTTTAAAATTTTCAAAGAATCGAGAACATCTTTATTAGAAACATCAGCGTTTAGGCTAGAAATTAATGTACAAAGTTTTGACATTTTTGTCGGAGATGCGGACAAGGGAGCAGACATATTGAATCAAAACACTACGTTGAGGGCGATATACAGAATAGAGAGCCAGAGTAGTAGAGAGCCAGTAGAGAGCTAGAGCAGGACGCCGACGTTCGTCGTGTTTTTTAGACGGATGAGATGCTGGGACAATATAGAATCTTTAAACTAATCTGGTGCTCAAAGCCATAAATGGGTCATTCTTCGCTAATGTGCCATTTTAGAGGTTTAGAAATCATGAAAAAAAAGTTTCACATTTGTAATTCTTTTATTACACATGTCACCATTATGCCATATAACAACTATAATAGACATTCGGCACGATAATTGGGGCATTTTAAACGTTTATTTAAGCATTCAATTTTCAGTGCTGTAACATAGCAAATATTTCAAGAATCATCTCCATCACACTTATTTGTGACGGAGATGATGATATACACATAGATGTGAATCTTAGTAAATTTGAAAGATAAATTGTATTATTTAAATATAGGATAATACACAATGAACAAACAAGTTTCGAACAACGTAAGTCGTATCAATTACCATTTTTATTTTATAGCCATTTTTGAGAAAAGAAAACATCAAGAAATCATCTCCATCACACTTTTTGTGACGGAGATGATGATATACTCATAAATGTGAATCCTAGTAAATTTAAAAGATAGATTGTATTATTTAAATATAGGATAATAAACATTGAGCAAAAAGGTTTTTAACAACATAAACCAGATCAATTATCAATTTTATTTTATATTCGTTTTTGATGAAAGAAAACATCAAGAAGTCATCTCTATCACAGTAAAATTGTGATGGAGATGACTGTGACGGAGATGAGGAATTAAACTTTTTAGATCATATAGTGCCATATGAAGTGTGTTACAGGGTGAATGCCATGTGCACTTTGAAAATGACACAGTTCTGATCGTATATATAATTATTTTTTTTCTAAAAAAATAATAAATAAACCATACTCTGAAGCGTTCGGAGATGATGCTGAATAAAGGTACTTTTCTGGTTGTATTAGAATTGCATGAATTCTTCAGCTATAGGTGGTTTAACTGTACAAGAATGGACTGTTTCTTACTGTATGGTCCCCTTCAACCAAAATGGTTTGATCCATAACGTGTTATGTCATTTTGCTAACAGTATAATGTCATTTAAAAGTATTGTGACGGAGATGACGAAAATTCAGGGACAAACTTTTTTAGTCTAAAAAAGTCATATTTTAAGTATTTATAGTTCTATTGATGTCATTTTTAATTTTACATTTGTAAGACATTTACTGTATTCACCTTTTTGTGGTATAGTTATTTATTTAAGTTATTTATTTTACAAATTATGGCATTAGGAATTTTTAAGAAACCCAATCGGGACATGCATAGTGCGCGACTTTGGAGGCTTTTTGTTAAAAAATAAACAGCATGTCGATTACGTTTAAAATATTTAACAACTTATTCCATTAACAAATATGTTGAAGATTGCATTAACGCAATAAAAATAAAATTTCCTTTAATATTTTAAAATTTATACTACATTAAAACAGAGGGACTGGAAAATGGCACATTAGCGAAGAATGACCAAATATATGCTTGAAAATATAGATGCACACTGCCAAGAAAATGTGCTTTTATTACGGGAACCATTAATAGCATAAGTTCTTTTGTTGTAGCCCTCCAATCATTGAATGTGTGCCATTCAAAGCGTAATACAAACAATAGGCCTATATAATTAGAAGGTACAAAAATAAAAGTCTCTTAAGAGTAGAGCGATTGCTTGAACAAATCACAATATCAGGCAATGGGATCCCCATTCATTTTGAAATAACAGTATTCAAGAATCAAGAACACATCAATAAAACAAGTGAACAATGAAATTTGCTTTGCAGGTACTAAAAACAGACTTTAAAACATTATTAAATTATGGTTAAACACAATATATTAAAATATCAAAACTAAAATGTATGACAGATAAAATATATTGTATTGCATGAGTTGAGTAATTGCAGTGATTTTTACTTTTAGGCCTATTATGAAGTATTTATGTCCAAAAATTGTACAGTGATAGTGATGTCTTTTCTTTCAAGTTATAACATTAAACACAAACATATTACTACCATTAAGCATGTCAACTGGTAAGTTTACCAGTCAATGAAAGGCAGATGTACTCTTGCAAAAGACGGTAAAGTTCAAGTAGGAGCCGCTAAGTATTGAGAATGTATTTGCACTGAGTTGGAATTCCATTAAGTTTCAAGGTATAGTGAAAAAATAAATATCAAGAGAAAGATTTAAAAACAAAAGTGTTGTATAAAATATGATAAATTATATGATATGAACCGAGAATATGAATAAAGAAGAAAACCCCTAGTACTATGAAGGTAGAGGACAGCTATAGCTCAGTCGGCTAATCTGGTGGTAGCCACTGTGTGTGCGCTGAACCGTGGAGATCTCCAGATCCCCGTCCAATTCCCATCGCCGTTCTCCTTGTGTATCAGCCGGGGCTAAAAATGCAAGTTACGATACGCACTGTCTTTCGGATGAGACGTTTATGCCGTTGGTTTCCAGACTTCTGAGGTGTCTTTTAATGACTTTTAAGTTCTTCAAAATTCAAGGTTTTCCCCCTCTTGAAAACGGTCAAGGTCTTCTTCAAGACATTCGATCGTTGCTTATCCTTGGTGCTTACACCGAATAAATCCATCCATCCAAGGTTACTCAGGGGCGGATTTAGATTCAAATTTAGAGGGTGGTCAGACTTTTTCATAAAAACGGCAAAAAGAAGGTGGGGGTGATTCCTCCCCCTGGAAAATTTTTATCACTAGATGGAAGGAAATGAGCTTTCCAGACTTCTGAGGTGTCTTTTAATGACTTTTAAGTTCTTCAAAATTCAAGGTTTTCCCCCTCTTGAAAACGGTCAAGTAAACTTTCTTATTCTTATTACAGTGAATACGCCTATTTATTATGTGTGTATACGTACATTTTTAAAAATTGAGTTGCTTACGTATTCTTCTTTCCCCATGAATGGATAACCCCAAAGAGGAAGGGGGTCCGGGATCCTCCCCTGGAAAAATGTGATCACTAGATGGCAGGAAATGAGCTTTCCGACTTTTTATTTTAATGGCTTTTAAGTTCTTTAAATTTTAAGGTTTCCTCCTCTTGAAAACGGTCAAGATGGATTGGATTGGATTGGATTTATTCGATGTAAACACCAAGGATAGCCCACGAAAGTCTAGAAGAAGACTTATTTCCAATCGGGTCCTACACCGGGAGACAATCCCCTACTCCTTTCCGAAGAGTGAACGTTCTTTAACGTGCACATGGTAATGCACACGCGGGACCAACGGCATACGTCTCATCCGAAAGACGGTGCGCTATTGTAACTTGCATTTCAGCCCTTTAGCTGAAGCACAAGGAGAGGCAGCGCTCGGAATTGAACCGGGGACCTAGAGATCTCCACGGTTCAGCGCACCCACAGCGGCTACCACCAGATTAGCTGACTGAGCTAAGCTTCTCATTCTTATTACTGTAAATACTAGTAGCCCTACTGTGTGTGTATGTACAATACATAACAAAAATTGAGTCGCTGCTGCATACATAATCTTTTTTTTTCAATAAATCGATGAACCCGAAACTAAAACGGGGGTTGGGGGTCCTCCTGGGAAAATGTTGGTTCTAGTCTAGGTGGCGAGAAATGAGTTTTCCCGACTTCTGAAGTGTCCTTCAATCAAAAATCAAGGTTTCCCCTTTTGTAAACGGGTCAGGTAATATTTTTCTCATTCTTATTACAGCAAATATGCCTATGTGTGTACCGGTACACCGAGAATTCCCCCCCCCCCCCCCACCCCAGATCCGCCAATGGTTACTTGTTCAATATGGCATTAAATATAACATGGATTCAGGCAATTATTAAACTTTCTGATTTCATCATGTAGAAAGCCACTGAACATCAGCCTATCTGGAAGGGTCACCATGTCTATAAAAAATAAATACATTTGATTCTCTGAGCATAACATGATAGGCCTATTGGCCTAATTATTTACAGTGATGAATGGATTGCGGTACGTCTTCAATAATTTTATCCAGCATTTTTAAGGCACTATTTTGCAATGGATTTGGATACATTAGCATCACTGACACGGCCCGCACGGTTAATGGATTTCCTGACTTTACTTAAATAATAAAATTTAACATGGGACAGTGAATTAACTGTTCCCTGGGTTTAATAAATAGCCTATATTAATATTATTATATAAATATTTTATTAAATTAAATAAGATTTGTATAGCGCTAGTATCTATTTTTTAGAGAAATGGTCAAGGTGCTTGAGAAAATAAACAGTTGAAAAGGAAAACCTGAAAACATAATAATCCAATCCAAATCGACTTTAAGGTTTTTACGATAATTGCGTAAAGGCCTAATACTGATCAATAGACAAAAGCTCATTAATCAGGTGTATATATATGTACAAATATAGGCCTATAGACACTAAGGACTACTGAATGTTGCGAGTCTTTATAGCTTCCATAACATTATACTTGATAGAATGCATCATGGCAGGCATTCAAAATCAGAATCCTTTTTCATTTAAATTCTCTATCTGTTGCTGTTCTCTCGTTCTCAAGTGGGCTTTAAACTCATAACTTCAACTGCGGTAATATCCATCTATCTCACTTGACTATTTGAATCAAAATACCATAAGATCCCATACATATTTCACCCTAGCATAAATCTTCTAAAGGCCTACAGGTTTTGAAATACACAGGTTATTCAATGTTTCTGCGCGACTTAACCCACTGCGCATGATGAAATAACTGGCTAATATATTCTTTAGGGGAAGTCTCCAAACCCTGATTTCCGACACCATTTATTCATAAAGTTTCGAAATAGATTATTCACCATATTCACCATCATTGTATTAACCGATATCAATAGATGAATGCATTCATGTTTAGATCAATCCGTTAGTACCCCCATTTCTAAATATGGGCACAAAGTGTATTTTTTATTTATGTATCATGCTAACTCAACGTGACCCTCACCTGGGGTTCACAGCAACTAATCCGTAAATGCTAGTTCTTTAAAGCGCCTGGATGATTCTAACACTAAACAAATAAAACAGCAGAATGGTAATACAAAGGTGCATAATATAATATTGTAAGTCGACACAATCCAGTCCAAACTATAGGAAACCATTGTATCACCCGGATGCCAGTTTTCTTACGTGAATTCCACGCTACAGTTAGAAGATCTTTTATACTGTTCAGCACACTTCTCGAAGTGAGGTCTATTGTTAACTGTGTATGTCTAACATCCAGTAGACGGCCAGGTATGTATACTTTCCGAATTGGTCGGGTATCAATAGGCCCCCATCAAACTTACACAGGTCCTTCATATTGTACCATGAGCTGAATACGGGACACATTGTAAGTTGTAAGCTTCGTTAACTCCTTGGGCAGCACATGGTACAGCAGTAAGGCCGCTTGATCGATCGAACGAACGCGGCGCCTGTCACATTTTCCAGTGGTTCTGTTATTCATCATTATGGAGATTAATTATAGCATGTATTTCTAGAGTTACGAACATAATAATTTATAGCGATGAAATCACGTTTAAAGTATGCCAGACTCTTGGTGGTGTTGCTAAAAGAGCGATATTGCCAGGGAGTAGAACACAGAAACGAAAAAGATACAGGGATGGCCCCACATTATGTTGAGGATGAATGCTTTACATGATGATAGTCAGGGTTATGGTGGTGGTGGTTGGTAGTGGTGGTGATAATAGGAACGCTAATAACACCGTTACAAAATTGATGTCGACACTGCCCCTGCGATTATTTGGAAAAGCTTAACGACTTTGCAGGATTGCTGATAATGGTGTTGGTATAAAATCATGCTTTCTCAATATTACATGTAAAAAAACGCCATTATGTATAATGGTTTGAACGACTTTCCTTGGCTATCATAAATATCACCCTTTTGCAATTCTTGTAGTATAATATTTTAAGTAACTAAGAAAGGTTTTTTTTTTTTTTTTAATTCTTTTAATTTGTATCTTCAAATAATGTTGTATAATACAGATTTATTTGAAGGAATTCATTCATGATTTCTCACCCGGAAACAAAGCTTTTTAAATATGAACATACAATAACATTTAAAGGTACTTTCCTTTAGTTTTCCTGTGTAAACATGATGTAATAGGCCTGCTGTGCAAAATTATAGCCAAGCCATTCATAAGCGTTGCTCACAGAATGACTTCTCCTACATTATTAGCAATAGGCTACTCATGACCTAATAAAAAGAGTTGAATTTCGTTTATAAATCGTCTGTGTCTTGTCGGCGGGTCGTTAGAAACTAATATATTTTTAATGAATGTAGAGGGGATGTACGCCCCTCTACTTTTTTGTGTAAAATGTATCAGAAAATTACCATGGTAAATATTAAAAATCAAATTAATGAAGACGCTTTGTTTATGGGAGGATCTCCCCTTGCACCCCTACCAGGGGCACTTTCCTAAGACTCAGTTCACACATTCACCCCCCCCCCCCCACCCTCTTTCTTACCGGGCCAGATCCGCCCCTTGTCTGCAAATAACTGAATACATTTCTTTTAATTTAATAAAGATTATTTTGTATTACATAAGTACAACTACAGCTTTCATTCAAAAATGATGATCGTTTGTGCAGCCATGCGTCCGTAAATCAGAGAAGGCGTGTTTTTTATTAACTGATAATCTATTTGCTCTTATGAAAATTCTAAACACTAGCATCACTAGAGCACCTGTTGATTATGTATATAATTATCAGAATCCAGGGGCGGATCCAGAGATGTCCGAAAAGGGGTCCGAATTAAAGTGAGCCGATCGACCCAACACTACCCTAGGGAGATTTGTGTTTTTTAGAGGCCCACAACGGGGCGCCCGAAAATAACCTCTGAGGCGTTTTGGGTAATCAATTATTTCTTTTTCTTTCTTTATTTATTTTTCTTCTTCTTGTTCTTCTTTTTATTTTTTACTTTCCATAAAAAGGGGGGAGGTGGGCACAAAGCAACAGATTACTTAAACTATTGAATATATCTTAACTGAGTATGTTAAGTAGCCGACTATGAGTTTTAATTTAACGTACGGAGTAAGGAAAAAATGAATTGAAAAATCTTGAGGCTCTACACATTGAGGTTCTAAGGTTCTAAGGCGCCGTCCAGATCTTATATGTATTCCGAGAGTGGGTGGTTGGTATAATTTATGATGGCAATCGTCTTATTTATTATTTAGTTCTTACAAACATCATCAAACCATTCCATCAAACAATTTGCAAGCCTTACTAATAATGACTTGTAACTTTCGTAGTCCCCTCTCCTCATTCAACTGAACAAAACCATACAACATTGCACGTCACATTACGGACGAGGAAAATAAATGTATGGCCTATGTCACAATGTATGTGTAGATCCTCAGATAACATCTGTAAATCAAAGAGACCATGTGTTGGATTTTTTTTTTTTTTTTTTTTTTTTTTTTTAATCATCAAAATTACTGATAACCTATTTGCTCCTTTTTGAAAATTCTAAACGCCAGCATCCACAGCACATTTTGATTATGTATAATTATATACGTCACAACGTAAGCCTATGGATTATTATCCTCAGATAACGTTTGTCAAAGAAATTACTGATAACCTATTTGCTCCTTTTAGAAAATTCTACTAGATGCCAGCATCACAGAGCATCTGTTGGTTATGTGCTGGCTGGCTTAAACTGCAAGAGAACGGTACGTTGATAGCTTCCAAGGATAGACTGAATTCTTTGCTTTATTTTCAAGGATAGGATGTATTTCATGGTTCATGTTGATGCAAAGCTTTACAATTTTGACGTATAAACTATTAACGTCTTTGGTTTGTGCCAACTATTCCAGGAAAGGAAATTGACTAAAATGTCTCTTATTTATTACTTAGTAACCGAGCTGAATTTTTTTTTCATTTTATCAGTCGTATAGCAAGTGCAAAGTGGGCGCAGTTTGGCGCAGCGGTTGAGGTTCTGACTTTCAATAGTAAGGTCGGGGTTTCGAGTCTCCGCTGTGCAGATTCGCTTGTTTCGTTAGGCAAGGCACTTTAGCTACATTGTTTCAGTCCACCCAGCATCAATGGGTCCAGCAATCTGCTGGGGACTAACCTGCGATTGACTAGTGTCCCTTCCAGGAGGAGTACAACTCTCATCCACTTCACACTACAGAAACTGGGGATAAGCTCCAGCCCTATGAGCCCCAGTGGCTCGGAAAGTATTTATTTTTAAGTTTAGCAAGTGCAAAAAAAAGTGTAAATGTAGCCTTATCATTCACGATTTTTGCTACGATGGAGCACGATTTTAAAAAGTTATAAAATCGCGCTCTGTCGTAGTATAGTGATTCGTACTCAAAAAGTTCAAGTTTTACGTTTCATCAAGACCATGGGTGTCGATCGGTGGGGGACAGGGGGGACACGTCCCACCCATTTTTCAAAGTAAGGGGACATCATATCAATTGTCTCCCACCCCCCAACTTTTCACCAATCTTCTATAGTTAAAACCCCACTTTTCAAAGCGAATGGAAAGAACAACAATTACGAATGCCTGTCATGAATTCTGTATTCACTTGTGCTCTAGCTGTTTCAGGTGCGGTGTGTATTTCCAGACCAATATTAAGTATAAACACAATTATTTGTACATTTCGTAACCATCTCAGTAACCACTGAGTGTAACCATGGGTGCAACGGTTATCAGAGGCTAAATCTATTAAACAATTATTGTATACAGTCTTTGACACGGATAGGTCTGTCTATTTCAACATATTTAAGTAAATCACTTTTTATGTTTGTGAAATAAAAATGCTAACTGATGTTTTGTGTGCATCCAATCTCTTTAGTCCTGTTTGATCGTAAGTTAGACGGCAGTATTTCCACTCACAATAGTGTAGTCTCAATACTACTTGCACAAAAGTGAAATTCAAAAAGAGGAGAAAAGGAAAATCGTGATTGATTTTAAATGTGCCGTTCAAAGAGACTATTTCTAACCTTAATAATTTTGCATTCTAAAAACTACAATTTGGTTCGTGAAAATTGACCAACAAAATGAAAAGTTATAGCAATTTTTTAAAATAAATATTCGATTTTTATAAATATTCATGTTCTTATATAACATTAAACTGTGATTTTGACAATGCTGGACATAAGGCCAACTCAGACAGCGTCGTATACGATTTTAAAAGTACTGTAGGCCTACATGCAAAGAGGGGTTCTCAACTGGCGGCCTGCGGTCATCTCCGGTCCTCGAGAACAAGTAAAAAAAAAATAGTTTCCGTTAGGCTTGGACCTAGTTTTCTAGATTTAATTCTGTTTTGCCGCACCTGCGGCGTACGGCGCTCCGATTGGTCTACACGCCACAGTACACCTCTTTTCCTGGGCCTTCAAATGTATTCCACGAACAATTTTGGCCCCTATTGCGATATAGTTGAGAACCTCTGATTATAGAATTGGAATGACTGTTTTTCCATGAAGGAACGAGGTTTATCATTTGCTTTTCATGGTTCGAATACGTCACAACTCAGTAGATAATAAATCATTATTTTTATGAATGTTAGTTTGCACGATTACCAGGATAAATTGAAAAAAAAATAATGATAAGAATTTCAATGGCAGATTCAAGGGGGCTCAAAATTTAAAAGTGGAGAAAAAAAAAATTATATTCTAATTAAGTCTGAGCAGGGAACAGTTAAATTAGGCCTACTAATCTAACTGTTCCATGGTCTGAGAGTGCCATTTCCGGCCAACTAGAGGTGCCATAATCATAAATTTTCTTTCTAAAATTTCGAATTTCTGGATCCGCCACTATATTTTTAAAGTGTAGTATGGGCAAAATCCCCCAACCCCACCCCTTTGGCTACGCCACTGCATCCGCCCCTGTATTTTGAAAATGTAGTGTGGAAATAAAATTTTATTGCCTTTCTTAAAATCAATTCCATACGACGTATAAAAGGCGATAGACGCCGGAGCTTCCCACCGGGGGCCCTAGGTGGCCTTCTGCCCCAACCAGGACTTCCTTATTTTGCAATTCGTCTTCCCCTCCCCCCCCCACCCACTTTTCACAACGGATCGACGCCCATGATCAAGACGCTACTAGGACGCCGTCAAGATGTATTACGGCACTAATGCGATAGTGCGATGACATTTTTACGAATTATAACGATATAGAGTACTACGAATTACCAAAATTTTAATTCGACGTCACTACGATTTTACAAAGACGCAAGCACGACGTTAGCACGATTTAACAAGACGCACATCACAAAAACAAACATGACATGACAAAAAAGCGCACTGTTCAAACACCATCAATTTGCAAGCTGCTGCTATAGAAGAAGAAAATTTGTTGGCTGCTACAGTTTTAATAAGAGTAAGCGTCGGTCACATCGAATGCATAGGCCTAAACGAAGTGTATGGGTACAGCCATGGCTCTTACGTCGTCCATATTTTAGACAGTATGAACACTTACTAGTAGAGTTAAATAGAGAAGACCCAAGAGGCTTCAGAAACTTCCTCCAAGTGAGCAAGGAATTGTTCAGTGTGTTGAAAAACTTTTCTGACACAGAGCCACGTGATATAAACCACGGTCTTGATGGTATCCTGGTGGCATCGTATCTAATCGTCTCAGCACCGCAGCGATGTCTTGGCTTGTTGTAGATGTTGTTGGTAGTACGAATGGACAAGACACAGTCACGACAACGTTACACCACTCACACGATGTCGCTGCGGTAGACCAAGATCTTTTTCACGGCTACGATTGAGCACGATTTTTTTAACATTCCAAAAAATCGTGCTCCATCACGATGACATCAAGATCCAGTAATACGATGCAATACGATGAATTATTTTTGACCACGACATTTACGACGACGCCATTGCGATTTTTCAAAATTGAAAAATCGTGCTCTGTCGTAGCAAAAATCGTGAATGTGGGAAAGGGGCATAAGCCTTATTTACACTAGACACGATTACGACACGACAACGACACGATACAAATGCGCACAGTGTTGAAGAATAAAAACTACGCGATGATGTGTCGTTGTCGTGTCGCGTAAATGTGGCTTTATGGTGGCCATCTCATCGAGCTTTGTTCTTATTGGTCATTCATTACCGTTTGCATTTATTCATTTTCTAAATATGTATCTTGATGGATTTAATTTAAACGGTGAATAAATTTGGACTAGAACTTGAATATTGGGTTTATGAATACTTTTGTAAATGAAATTTAACATAACAAGGATAACGTGTTCCTCGCATTACCAAATTGTTGGTAATCAACATAATTTATCTTGATTTCATCTATTACCAAGTGAATTAAAAAGGACTCGCAAACAAATTAGTACAAGAGAGAGGTGCATTTAAGTAAAGTCAGCCAAGTTCTGACCTTCGGGTAGTGGTAATACTTTGGCGGTTTTCCAACAATTATGCAGGGAATTCCCCTTGTTGGTAGAGCAGGATACATGATGGTTTGGACATTTCATATGCTCATTCTTTACTAGCTTAATGGGTACATCAAATGGGTGAGAACACATTCCGGTTGACTATTAATAACCTGATTTCTAAAAAATTATTGATACAGTTTTATGCAGGTAAGATGTCTAGGCCTATATCAGTTTTATCGAAATCCGATCCTACCATTAGGCCTACCCGGGACATGGTCGGGTCGGGGCCAACATATATATTTTGCATATTAATAGAGTAGAGTTTAGAATCGACCAAATAATAGGTAGTTTTCGCCGCACGACGTTAACCTTATAGTCCAGCAAACTTTGGTTGGTTGCATTTTTTTTGCTATATTTTAAAAAAAATTGGATATGATGTAGAGTAGACATAGATAAATCAAAAAAGTATGTGCAACATTTTTTTTTTCATACGTAAGGGGGGGTTGCCAGCCGTTTCAAAATGGCCGCCATTTTTCCTAAAATTGTCACTAATATTGTAAATTTATGTCATTAAAATGCAGTATTCAATTGGAAATCCACTCATAACAATGACAGCAACAGTTAA